GACCTGAGGCAGCAAAACAAATCCCGTGCCGTCCGGATCCCGGAATCCGGGAAGTTTTGCTTGTGAAATCTGTAATACAGCTCAAGGAATCCAGAATCCCATTAACGATTGGAATCTGAAATCCAAGTTCCATTTCAAAGAATACGGAATCGAATCGAGTACCAGTACCCGGAATCCCAAATACACGGTGTGGAATCCAGAATCCAACACTGTCTTCCCAAAACTTTCCGGTTCGATGATTCTCGCGCTACGCGATTCTCGTCGCGCAGGAAACGAGACGCGACTGGTAACTTACTTTTGAGCGGTACTGTATATGGGCGACACCATCTATGGCTTCTCCATATAAACATGAATTTTTAATTTTTTAAATAGTGCGAAATTGAACCAGGTTTCTAAAAAATCACTTACAGGTACAAATTTTTTGTTTGAGTCATTCAATCCGTGTTTTCCCGAGGTTGAAATTTTTTTTTCTTTAAAACCCCGTTGCTGATTTTTCAGTTAAAGGAATTTTACCAGGTATAAATTTCTTGCTGTGATTATAAATGCATGCATTCAGTTTGGACAAGATGCACGCTGAATTTTTGTAAGTGTTTTATCTGTTCATTCAGAGTATTCGGGTTAAGATAAAAAATTTGTTCAAAATGCGTCAAATACCCCACACCAGCGACTACTCAAAAATTTTTCCATGGGTACAACCATTTATTCAAGTGTAAATATCCTACTAACCACAACCGAATATCTTAAGTCTCAGAAAGCTGTCTTACGGAGGTTTGTTCATTTCAATAACATTGTACGTTCCAGAAAGCCCTTCAAAGGTCCTCAATTGCTCTAGCAAAACAGTGAGCATAGGGTCAATGAGTCGTGAACAGCGGTGCACATGCTGTATGAAGCACTTGTGAAATCCTTTTGCTTGCGACGCTGACCAGCATTTTGACATGAAAGTCAAATGCCCGACTGGGTAGGCCTCATTTGGGGTCAAATTCCACACCGTATGGAGCAACCTCAGGTATGCCCCGAAGGGGAGGGGGGGATGGGAGGATTTGGTACATAATTACCTCATTTTTAACCAGCAGATCCCTTATATAGATCTTGTCAGGGCCGGGTGGGACCAAACTCTGCAGTCGAACTGCTTTGAGGGCTGTCGGCTGGCAAGAAATCAAGTGGGTAACTTCTGAACTCTGAAAAATAAATTAATACCGTAAATCCCCCCCTCTCAAATAAGCCCCCCTTTTCAGAGGAGGAAATTTAAAAAAACCCCTTTCCCTCTCCTCCATCCTTATTCTTCAGAACCAATAAACGTGGACTGATCAGTTATGGTTTATTCAGGCTGGAAATTTATATTGTTTTTGGTCTTCGGCTGCATGACTTCCAACTTTATGTGCTTCACTTTTTCAACTTTACGCTCCAGTTCTCAGTGGAGAATTGTTAAAATTTTCGAATTCTTAGAAAAAGCAGTATAATGCCCGGGAACAAAAAGTCAGTCCTTGAGAAACCTTGCTCCCGTTGATGCGTTTCACTAAATTAAATAAGCCCCCCTCTCTTTTAAGCCCCCACCCCAAAAAGTGCTTGGAAAAAAATAAGCCCCCTAGAGGATTTATGGTAAATAAAAAAGTAAATTTTTGCACAGGTTTTGAGATACCATGTTTGCATATTTCAGGGTTTAACACCTTCATGCAGGACCTATCAGCGTTTTTTTTGTTTTGCACCTTTTGTTTTCCTAGGTTCTATAGTGTGTTGAATTCTTTGTTTCTAATTTCTATTGATACAGTGTACTTGATACTTAAAATGCCAGAGGTGTTTACATGTATGTTGCTATGGGTTCTTTTAGTCGTCCCACCTGAGAGTAAGATCAATGAAAGCTTGCACCATGAGATTTGCAAGATGAGATGAGATTTTGCACCATTGTTATAAATTTTTATTTCTTGTATATTATGGGGTGAAATAAAGTGTTGTTGTCGTTGTTGTTATGAGATGATTTAGAATCAGTTATTAATGGTTTTTTTGTACCCATCCTGAAATGACCAGAAGGTCTCTCCATTATTTGCAGAACCAGTCAATATGAATAATGACTAGGTTATGAAAGACTCCTTTTTTGCCGCGATCTTACCCGGTTGTTTTGGTATCTTAGTCTTGTGAGCCTGATTCTGTTTCTTGCTTCAGCTGCCCTGTTGATGTAAGCAAATCACAGTTCAAATATCAAAAAGGAAACTGTACGCCATTGTAGGAAGATCATACAATTTCTCAAAAACCTTATGTATTGTATTCCCGGCCCACCAGAGTCAAATTTAATGACTCAACAAACTCTTGAGGTGGGCTTTTACTAGGCTCCAAACTGGTAGAAAATTTTTTGCTAACATGGCAACAGATCTGAAAAGAATTCTTCAAGGATGTGCCATAAGGACAATCAGACAGGATTTGATTTCACCAGTCAGAGTTGCATGAATTTTTGTGTGTTTCTAATTTTTTTGACGGAAACATTTCACTGTTAAGCATGCATGGTTTGTAAGAACACTTATGCTTCTTACTTACTTTAACTGTCCTATTATCTTGATGTGTTTTTCATTCTCAACGACCTCTTCCGTGGGTGGTGGCTTGTGATGTCTTTACAATGCAAGGAACAAATTAACAAGTTATTTTTCACTAAAGTCTTGCAGTCAAAGGCAAAAATGACAAAATAACATGAAAAGACATAGCCTCCCACGCAGACGTTCTTAGGGGTTCATCAGGAACGCGTGACGAACCCTAAGTATGTCTGCATAGGAGGCTAGAAGAGGTAGGAAGTAACTGAGTTGTCTTGGGCACCAGGCATACATGGAGTCACTCTAGGCTAAGCCCTTGTTCTGGTCACCATAGCAGCTAAAGTGTTTGGACCATTTCAAGTTCAACTCCAGTCCTCCTTCCCACTCTCAAGAACAAATTAAAGACCGTTTCGAACCATTCGAAACACAGTAAATTAAGTTGTGGTGGACATAAAACCATATTTCCAGAGTGTGCTACAAATTTAATTGGTGCTTTAACAGAGCAAACTATAAAAGATACTTTTAATTTGTAGAAAGATGGTAACCCTATCAGTTGGGAACTTGAACTTGCTTTATTCTTTGCAATGTTTGTTTCGTTTCTCCTGTAAACCCTTTTAGGGGTAGAGGAAAATTTTAACACTTTAAAATTTTACACCTACTTTTTTTGTGATTTGTCTAACTCCTTCAGTCTTTTTCTTGCAGCTGACATAGCTTCACTGCATACTTTAGGAGCTGGTTCATACTGAAATACAAAATATGACAGAGACACAGTTGCTAAACATTAGTTTAAAAAATACTTTGGCAAGGAATTAATCATTGATTTGTTACCCTTAATTTCATAAATACCTCTGCTTGCAGATGTTTTTTGTCTTGTAAAACAATAATTTTTCCCTGCAAAGGAAGAACATCTTTGCAGGGGAAAAACAACAATGGAACTGGTTGAGCAACTCTTTGTAAATGTTCTTTTGTATATAACAGCTTCACACCAATGTCATGCTGGACAGAATGATAGCTAGTCTACTTGAGCATGATTCATGTAAAACTAATGATGTGAAAGCTGTATATTGAAAGACTAGTTGTCACCCCTGCCGATTTTTAGTTTAAAAATTGAAATGGTTTATTAGGTCTTGCTGTGTTTGTTAAGTATAAAAAATATCTCTTACTGCCAGGTATTTGCTTCTTTGTTGTGGTGGCAGCTTCTGTATCTCCTTTTTACTTAACACTTTCCAGTTTCTTGCTTTAAACCTTTCATTTTCACTGTTTCCACCCCTGGCACTTGTTTTCTCTATGTTGGGTAACTTAACACTGGATGAAGATTTTTCCTGTTGACAGAATGTACAAACATGGAGAGAGTCATGTCATAAGTGGGGGTGCATGGGTCACATTCACAGTCAGTGACTCTGAAGATGACAAATAAACCAGTAATGTAGGAGCTGCATGCTCATACTAAGGTGTTCTTGGTTAGGGTATTAAACCAATTGGCTTTTAGGGTTAGGAGAGCTGAATGTCAGTCACTGTCAAGGCCCTTTTTAGGGGAGTACGTATGTCCCTAGTCTGAGTTTCAAATATGGTCGTTTTGCATTTTAAGGAGTAGGCCATATCCCTGTCAGTATTTAACCCATCTTTGTGTCGTTGTTGCCACTTCATCTTGTCACATGCCCCTGTTTCAAGGCCATGTCGCTTGTCATTGTTTTACCCCGACAGGGCCTCACTTGACAGGCCCAATCAGGACTTGAGTCACATGGATGGTCCATTACTTAGAACAGAGCGATTTTCATATGACCTTGAAAAATGGTTTCGGTAAGTGTTCAGTATTTGTTTTACCAGCCAATGTAAGAAAAGATCAAAACATGAACTCTTCGTTTTCCCGCCAAAGAAAACCCTAATATGGGAAGGCATAGTTCGATTGGCCAATCGTGTTGCAGTATGATGTCAAAGCAAAGTATCGATTGATTTCTAGAGAGTCCTTCGGGCATGAAGTTTTTTCTGGCCGAGCGTGTGCTTAACCAATCATGACATGAGCCACTTGCATTTTGTATCCATTCAACAAAGCAATCAAATCACTCTGTTTCCCTTGGTTTGTTGTTTCTGTTTCCAGGGTACCATACAAAAATCGCTGTATACAAATTTGAAAATAGATCTACTGTTATTATTTCCTCCGTTTTAAGTACCCCTGGGGGCTTATTTCTTGTTAATGCTTAGCTAGGTACAGATCAATGAACAGTGAAACCTGCATGTAGAAGCAGACACTCACGGGACTGTACCTTCAGTGAAGTCAGCTTAGTATACATGTAGAGGTGTCCCGGAAATAAAGGTTCATTTTCAACGAAAATATGGGTAGGGATCAGTAGAAACGTTTGAAATATAGATGTACTGAGCCATTTATTTGGTGTCAGCTACTTTGTTTGTAGATGTACATATGAAACTGATATATAACATATATGATTTTTGGAAGTGATTTCCCTTGAGGGTTAATGGTAGTTAATGCGTTTGATTTTTTGCTAGGAAAAGAAACGATAGACCGACAGACGACAGCACTGTCAATAATTTCTGCAAACAATAAAACTTATTAAAAGGTGAGTGTTAAATAGAAGCATGAGACTTTTAATGGCAAATTTTGTTGATTATGTCGGCAAAAAGAAAGATATTTATCGGCAAAGGGAGAAGGACAACAAAAGCACCCAGCGATCAAGACGTCTCTATTCGTATGTAAAAGATACATGCGGAGAGTGAAAGCTTTCATGCATGCATCAATGTGAGCCACATTGCTTCATGGAATTAAGGCTGATTTTAATCCTCTGCTTCACGGAGTTTCTGTATATAGGTAATAGATTGATAAAATAATACTTACCATTGCTTACAGCATAGTAAAGCTTAAACTTTGAACGACACAACAGGCAAAAAACCGACATCAAAACACAGCTGTCTCTTAATCGACCGCCATCTTGTTCGCTGGTGCACTTTCCATTGCCATGGTAACTGGGAATAGTCTTCATCGAATCGAGGTGATTGTGATTCCGCTACTCAGTACGAGTGCGGGCGACTAAAGAAATATGGCGGCGCTGTAAGGACGGTCTCGGAACATTGTAAAAGGTTTCATACACTTTACAATGAAGGTTAAAGTCCTTTCAAGGAACCCCGCCGATTACATACGAGAGAACAAGTCAGATATTCACAAACTCCATCGCAACCTTGATCCATCATTACATCCTTTCGAAGGACCGCGCGAGTATACACGTGCGTTAAACGCGGTTAAACTCGAACGCGTTTTTGCCAAACCATTTGTAAGCTCTTTAGATGGGCACACTGATGGTGTGAACTGTATTGCTAGACACCCTAGAAGCTTGTCCGTCTTACTTTCTGGCTCATGTGATGGGGAGGTAGGTGTTTACTTTGTCCTTCTCAAATTAAATTTAATTTGTTGACGGACTACTGTCCTAACTTGTATATTTCCCATAATACACCTTGTTTGCACTCCGAACTTTGCATTGACTTCAGTTTCCCTTTCGATTAATGCAATGCCATTGACAAATTAAGAACAAAAGTTGTATGCCAAACTTGGGGTGGCAAACAAGGTGCATTATGTGAAATGTGAAAGTGGTGAATAGTAGCTTGATCCTCAGTTGATCACGGGTAGCAAGAGGCCATTATAACAATAGCTCTTTATTGAGAAACCGGTCAGTGTAAAACGCAGACTGCGGACTGCAGACTGCAGACTGCAGACTACACACCAGGGGTAAAATGCAGACTGCGTGTAAAATGCAGACTGCAGACTGAGAGTAAAACGCAGGCTGGGGTAAAATGGAGACCGAGCATAAACTGTAGTCGTGGAAGGGTTTAAGGGCAAAACAATCCCGCAAATACATGTAAACGAACTCTTACTTGACGACATCTGCTTTCAAAAATCCATTCCTTTCTTGTCAGAAACGTCTTCACGACCCGAAAACATACTAGTAATCGCAATCTTGAACCTTTTTCCGTCCGAGAGACCTCACGCTTCAACTTAATAGACGGGAACTTTTCAATACGCATGACCATGAATTGGTACAACGCCATGATGTTTGCTGACCCAAAATACTGTACAGAAAGAATTCAAAACAATTATGGCGACAAAAAAGGGAGTAAATCATTCCAACAACAAAAGAAGATGTTCTGCAGGAAATTTGGATGACCTTCTATGAAAGGATTGAAAATCAAGATACGCAGACTTTAGCTGTTTGGATGTTCATTGAACTTTTGGCGAATATGCAATGTACTAACTTTGACTAGGAAGCGAGGTGTGTAACTGATACTAGCTAGCTATTTGGAAAAGAAGGAGCACATTATTGTTTGTGAAGTCTACAATCTTCATTCTGCATTTTGCACCCAGCCTGCGTTTTACTCTCAGTCTGCAGTCTGCATTTTACACTCTATCTGCATTTTACCCCTGGTCGGCAGTCGGCAGTCTGCAGTCTGCAGTCCGCAGTCTGCGTTTTACACTGACCAATTGAGAAACAAAACTGGCAAGATGTCTTTAATTTGGGATGCCTTTGTAAATCTGTTGCATGACCTTCGTAGTTGCAGAAATTAGGTCTTGTCATTTGCACATACAACATTGTGCTGTAAGGTGCATAATATCGCTACTTAAAAACATTTTGGAAGCCCTGTAGTATTGTGCTCTAAGGTGAAGGATTCCAGGAAAACACCTTATACTCCTTTGCATTTGAACACCTTGATCCTTCGTTTTATAGACCGTGAATGGTTGGTCTGACCAGGATTTTCTGTAGTATTCAGTAGTATTCTATGATGGTACCTCCTAATCTTCAGACTAAAACTCTGAAGTGATGAAGAAATAACAGTGTTGTTTGCAGTATGATATAAGCGATGGGGGGGGGGGTGAGAGGGAGAGAAGTAGGGGTATTAAACCATTTGTCTCAAAGTAGAAGACAGTATAATCGGTGGTTCAAGAGAGTGGTTGTTCCATTGGCAAGATTCATGAACTGGTTACAAGCACATGTGAACCTTTTTTTCATTTGTAACATGCAATTTTGCTGGTGATTAAGATACAATTCAATTTATTATAGATTCGTCTATGGAGTTTACCAAGACGTGAATGCCTCAGGACCCTAACAGCACATTCTGGGTTTGTTCGTGGATTATGTGTGAATTCTTTAGGAGACACATTCATCTCTGTAAGTTTTGAATTTTTTTGCAGAATGCAACTACCACAAACTACACAACAATTCTCATAAGACAATATTTTCGTCTCTGTTTGTTAAAAAGCTTTCATTTTTTCTCAAAAATCAATAATTTATTTTAAAGATTACAAAGTACCAATCAATTCTTTGATTATTTAATGTAACTATAAATTCAATAAATCGTTGGTCATGGGAAATAGACACTAGCAGTCGCTGCACATGTGAACATACATTATTGTACATTGTGCATGTATCCCAGAAGCCAAGTTTCTCTTTAACTCAAAGTGGTGCTTTTTTAAGTAGCATAATTTTTTAAATGAAGTACAAATTTTACAGGTGTGTTTATGTATGTATGAAACAAATAGAAAAGATTTCTACTCATCATATCACTGCATTCATGCATTGTGCATGTATTTCTTGACTTTTGTATTTACAGTTCATCTGATAAATCTACACTCAAGTGCTCAAGAATCAAATTTTTAAAAAGTAAAAAGTAAAGAGGCTCTTATTTGAAAACTTGTAACTACAGTAGAATCCTTATTATTGGAACAACTTTGGGAAAGGCAGATGGTTTTGAATTATCAGGAGGTTTGAAAAATGGAGAGTAATATTACAGTGTTTGACTGGTGAAGTGACGTTAGGTTTGCTTCAAATAATTTGGGATTTCGAAAAACTGAGGGTTCGAGAAATCAGGATTGTATTGTAGTCTAGCTTGATGTTTTTTTTAATAAATTGAGCCTTCATGGAAACAACAGCTAGCTAAGAGAGCACAACAAGATTTCTAGCTTCTTTCAGAGTTGCATGTAGCAACTTTTTAATATTAGGCTTGACAGGAGTCCATGAGTGGCTTGAAGAGCACCTGCCACCCGTTGAAAGGGGGATCCAAACTGGACTCGCTTGAATGGCTGGAAATCCAGCGTATAATGCAACAGACTGTTTTATTATTTGAATGATTATTATTTTTATCGTGAAACTAAAGTGTAGTCATTCCTAAAACTTGCATCTAGATTGGAGATGACAAAGTTATAAAACAGTGGAGCATGGAGCAGAGTTTGAGTGCCAGTGCATCGTCACCAGATCCAGTAAATACAATCATAGGCAAGGTATGATGATCCCTGTCCAGTAGAGCTGTAGCTTGTGCCAGGCTCTCCGTGACAAGTGAAAAAGTCTAGCAGGCGGTGAAATAGCGAGTGAACGAAAAAACAGCTTGAAACGAGAAGGGGAGAGCCTGTAATACCTCAATCCAGCCCTCTACCCTGCTCTGTTCTTGAAAAGCATTTCTAGTGTCAAATGTTAAATGTCAAAATATCCAAAGGTGCAATGTAGGGTTTCATGTACTTAACCTGTTTGTTAGACGCTGCGCGAGCAGTCATATATGACCAATCATGTTCCTGAATGAGTTGTTAAACAATTTTTCAGACTCCACTACTCCATGTTTCCCTAACACCCATGTGGTTTTCACGCAACTTTTCCTGATCCGCTTTCCTCACTTTCTTGGAGCCTGGAACAGGCTTGTAAAGCTGGTGAATATTGAGATTTACTGACTTTAACGGGGTTAACACGTTGATTACTTGTAATGCAGTAGTTTATGTGCATTACTCAATCACTTTCTGTGACTTGCTTTAAGATGGACATAAGGACAGCCATCTCAAATCTTTCAAGTTGATGGGTCCTCATCAGGGGAGGGGCCTGGGGGGCCTGGGCCCCCCTTTTCGCCGGGTCTGGATGACCACCCCACCCCCCCTTATTCTGAAGGTCTGGATTTGCCACTCATTTCGTAGCTCAGTGGTCTATGTGCATGATCCATACCATGTCTTGAATGTCACACATTTGTGTGTCAGAAGTCAGTATTTTCCTTTGTTTGATGGGTTTAATACACCTTGGTCTTTTTCATTCATTAGAATCTTTATCATGGTATCGATCATCATTGGAGGAGTGCCGTATTTGCAACTTGCGGAGAACAAGTTGATATCTGGGATGAACACAGAGCTGAGCCCGTGAGGAGCTTCACTTGGGGTGTGGACACCATCCATAGTGTCAAGTTTAACCCCATAGAGGTAAAAACCAAAATAACCAATCCCATTTGGTGGCTTAGCTCCTGGATAGAGGAGGATGTTTGTCGAAATTTGTTAAATCTGTTCTCTGATAGCATGATTGGATTTTCAAGGCTATGCTACAATCCTGGCCCAAAGGTGTTGGGACACCTCCCCTTTTTCACTTGGTTTTGTGTGGAATTTGCAGCTAACCTGCGGTACACACTCATAAACATGGCCTCAACAAGATTTTTCCCCCACCCCCCCTAAACAAAGTTGAGGCCCATAATGTGTACAAGATATGTAAAAGGTGTTTGACTTGTAACACCCAACACTGTTCAGGGGGGGAGGGGGGTCAACTTTAATTACATTTTCCTCACCTAAAACGCAAAGTGTCCCAAACGTTTTGACCAGGATTGTAAGTGTTCGTCCGCTCTGGACCTGTGAAATCCAGGGTGGCCTGCATTGCTGTTGATTTCTATGAAAACAACTAAGATTTAATTTTTCTAATTGTTAGGGAGGAAAAGTTAGGCGCCAGGGGCCATCGGGTACCGCTAGAGCCCAGCCTTGAATTTGTTGATGTTGATTTGCCACGCACAACTTTATATTAAGGAGCAATAGGCAAAACAATATATGCAATAATTTAGCTCAGACGTCGTGGAGAAGCGAACGCATCACCATTGATTTAGGAGTATTCTGACAAAGCCAGCACCGTGGTATTTGAGAACCGTTACCATTTTTTTTCTCCAGACCCATTTGCTTGCCAGCACGGCTTCCGATCGCAGCATTATCCTTTATGATATGCGCGGTTCGACCCCACTCCGTAAGGTTGTCATGGAGATGAGGAGCAACACAGTGGCCTGGAATCCACTTGAGTCGTTCATCTTCACAGCAGCCAATGAGGATTCGAATCTGTACACGTTTGATATTCGTCGTTTTAACCAACCAATCAACGTGCACATGGACCATGTTTCAGCTGTACTGGACGTGGACTATTCTCCCACGGGTCAGGAATTTGTGACTGGAAGTTTTGATAAAACGATCAGGATTTACGGTCGCGACAGTGGAAGAAGCAGGTAAGTCCAGAAGTGGTCGACAGAGCCCGGTTTTTAAAAGGGGAATTACGCTTTCCACCGCGTAATTCACTATCCACTGCCTATGTAAGCCATAGAAACCAGTTCTTTTATACTCGAGACTTTTTCAGTGCACCTACTGTTCACGTGAGACGTACTCGAAAATACAAGAGCCGGAACGCTTCTCACCTCAGACTAACGGTCCCGCCCGCCGGGGGAGGTTTCGCAGAACGGTGACGGTTGACGGTGACGGTACGAATCTCGACCAATAAACTAAACCTTAGTAAATGGATTGATTCTAGGGTAAGGGTTGTCTGGGAAACTGCCCACCTACCCCTCCCCTAAGCTAACATGAACACTTATCTCTTACATGGCCAAAATTATGGCGTAGGGGCGGGGTAGGTGGGCAGTTTCCCGGAAACCTAAATTGATCTGGGTAGTCCTGAATGGGACTTAAGTGACAGTGACGTTTCAACAACTCATGCGGTATTCGTCATGCAATAGACGCAACGTGAGACACAACTAACTTTCACTCTGAATATTACAGGTAATCTATTCACGACTACGAATGCTACGAATGCCAGGATGATCATATTCCACCTACTCAAAGCATTACCTCGTTTCAAAACCGATAAAAAACAATGATAAACGGCCGGTAGTTTAGGTGTTCTCTAAGGTGTCGTGCGGTGGGTACGGTTGGTCATTAAATTGATTGTTTTTAAAAAGACCCGATTGTTGCAACTGAACGCTTGTCTCATCCCTAGGGAGGTGTATCACACACGAAGAATGCAACGCGTGTTTTGTGTTCGATTCAGTGCGGATTCCACTTACGTCCTTTCAGGAAGCGATGAAACAAATATCAGGTAAAGTGACGTAAAACCATTTGATTTATTTTTCTCAACTTCATTATCTATGAGATGAAGAGGTTTGGAAATCGGATCGTTATTACCAAAAACAATGTTCTGACTTAAACTTTGAATTTTTTCAAGAATTTTCGATCATTCTACACTAAAGTTTCATTATTTCTCAAGGAATAGGAGAGTGTTTTATCCGAAGAAGTTGGTTTGGAAAAACTTTGTCGCGTTTCGTGACTTCTTTCTTGGTGTCTAGGAATGTTACTTGACGTTTTTTCCTTCGTTTTTTTTCTTAAGGAGCTCATCCTGAAATGGTTTCTTTTATCCTTTTCCCCCTAGAATATGGAAAGCTAATGCTTCACAAAAACTGGGAGCGGTAAGTAGTTCAGTCCCTGTGCGATTAGGAGCAGCCCCTCTTTTAAGAAGATCCTCAAGATATTTTTATTCCAGAAAGCTTTTATGTAATTTTATGTGCTTTCAAAACTCGTTTTTAGTAATACAGCGTTTACAGTTCAAATCTCTAAGTAATACTGATTTATAATTTTAGTGATGACATAATGTTTTTTAAGCAATAATGAAAAAAGCGAATATTGATATCGGCGTTATATAAGTTTTATTATTATTATTATTATTATTATTATTACTATTATTAATATTATTAATTTTGAGGTCGAGCAAGTTTCTTATATCGGGGTTTCAGTGTATTGATATGAAATATGTCGGTCAGTGTTAAACGCAGACTGTCGATGCGTACTGCATTGCGGATTATGAGTTCGATACAGATTGGAGAAGAACCTAGAGTTCTTCCTTTGGTAGTGGACTGCGTTTTACATTGATCTAATGCAAAGTATCGCTTACCCATGACGTATTGAACATTCATTCTGGGGACATAACGAGTCATTACAGGTATTTAAAGCAAAGGTCGTTAAAATGGACCCTCAGATAGGACTGCAAGTATGTGTGCGAGTTTTTCTTCCTTTTTTGCTTCAGTTTGGCCAGTTTTAAAAAGGTTGTGAATTTCGTCATACAACTCAGATATTTCATGGCATGTCTCTTGGAAGTAAACTGGTTTCCGGTAATTAAGAGTCCTTTTCTTTTTTTCAGCTTGCTCCACGGGAAAAAGCAGCGTTTAACTACAATGCCAAGCTTAAGGAAAGATTCCAACATCATCCTCAGCTCAAGCGAATTAAGAGGTAACTGTACACCTTTATTTCTTAGAATTGCTCAGAGTGCGACAAAGTGAAGGCCACACCATTGGGACCTAAGCAACCACCACAGTGAAGGCAAAAAACGCGTCTTTAATTAAGTGAAATCGCATTACGTTTTATCGCGATTGTTCTTTCGTACTGAATTGAATTTTCCCTCATTCCGCTCCAGTAAACACGATCAGTTTCCTCCCGTTTTTTTAAAAAAGGGTTTAAAGGCTTGCTTACATTGGAAAGTGCACTTAACTTGTCCAGCTAGTTTACAGGCACTCCATTCATATACTTAGAAACAAATATTTCAAATACAACATAACAGGATTAAGAACCCCAACTGGCAGGAGGCAACCAGATGGCTATTTACAAGCGTCACTTGGGGCGATCGACAATGCAATGCAACGCAATGCAATGCAATGCAATGCAATGCAATGCAATGCAATGCAATGCAATGCAATGCAATGCAATACAATACAATACAATACTGGTTTATTCATGATGATTAGCAAACAAATCCAGCAAGCCGCCCGTTTTATTTTCGTGTTCGCGCTTTCTTAATTTCGCGAACTCGGAGCCTGGAACAGACTAAGTAAACCAGACAATGAATCGAAGTCGAGGCTTCGACGGACAATTTCGTACAAATCACTATATTTTGTCGAGCGACCTTGCATCAGATCTATCGTAAGACCTCACGGTATTGTTTGGGAATAGTTAACAATGGAACCTCGCCCGAAAACAAAAGAGCAACGACATTTAGGGTCCAATTAAATTAGAGGTTTTGAAGAGCTGCAAGGCTGCTGATTTTGTCAAGGGGGGCAAGGGTGGTGAAGTGGTGAGAGCACTCGCCTCCCACCAATGTGGCCCGGGTTCAAATCCCAGCGTCGACGCCATATGTGGGTTGAGTTTGTTGTTGGTTCTCTCCCTTGTGCCGAGAGGTTTTTCTCCGGATACCCCGGTTTTCCCCTCTCCTCAAAAACCAACACTTCCAAATTCCAATTCGATCTGGAACGCACGGACACGTTTAAACGAGTTCATATGAACTCTTAAGTGCTTCGAGGGTAAAAAAGCAATTTACAATTTTTTTTTGTCACCCCAAGCCTTGAGTTGGTACCTTTGTTGAATGCAGGAACAATCTAGATAAAGAGTTCCAATATTTGATTTCGGGCCCGAAAATTTTCCAGGGATTTCAAGAAACGGGCCCCTGTACCCTCCTTCTCCTTTGGGAGCATAAAACAACAACACCTTTTATTAATATTTGTTACTTCGAAACTTTAAAAATTTGAGCGTTTATTTTACTGCAGGCATCGTCACGTCCCTAAGGCTGTATTCAAGGCTGCCAAGGAGAAAAAGATCATACTGGCTTCAAGAAAGAGAAAGTATGTACTTGACTACTACATGAGAAATTTCTCCAATTTGATTGGCTTAGAGTAGTGGTATTTCAGCTTAATTTGAAATACCTACATGTGAAAATTACAAAACCTTTGCGGGTAGTAGTATAAACAAATAATAGCATGATTTGTACGCGATATTTGGCATATATACCACTCGTGATATTTCAAAATTGTCTCAAATTTCACTCGCCTAACGGCTCGTGAAATTATGTGTAACAATTTCGAAATATCACTCATGGTATATATGCCAAATATCACTACAAATCACGCTATTACCTACAGTAGGCAATTCGAACGGTGTGATAAACGGCAGAACCTAAAGAAGAAATCTAGTAGCATTTTTCTGAATGGCTTTAATTTGGGATTAATAGACATATTCAAAAGTTAGAACTGCGCTGTAGAGTATGATAATCAGCACCAAAGGGAATAGTTTCAGTACTCAACGGTTGTCGTATGAATGGTCACACTTGAAAATTCCAGTCACCAGGTCAAATCTTTAAACCATTTTGTACAGCATCGCTAACATTACCACATGTATAAAGCAGCTTTCATTGGAATTTTATCTGGTAGACAAAGAAAAAGTTCGAAGATCTTGTACGGCATATAGCAAACAGCAGCTTTGAATTCCAGTTGCACGGACTCAAAAGTTAAAACTTGTTTTGTATTGACTTAAAGTTTTTTTTCGCGTATTCTAAAAGATAGACACCCCGTAAAGCCACATTTTACGTTTTTCACTAGAAGAGTGAACACGGTTATCATTATTGCAGGAAGTTAAGTCCTCTCCCGATCAAAAAAAGATAAAACTTCTGTTACTGGATAATTTGTTTCCGTCACTACGGCTTTTACGCTAAAATCTTTAGTACAATGATGACGGCTAAAATTACGCCAAATTACGCTGGTTCACGCGCGCGCACTGCTTAGTACTGCGAAAATCTCGTTCGCGTAGTCGTCCTCGTCTTAAAATCTAAAGGCCTCTATTAAACAACACTAAACTTGGAAGCGGTTTTTTATTTATTTTGTCTCATTCTTAGGGAGGATAACCTTCGTCAGCATAGTAAACCAGGAAGTGTTCCACATGTCGCAGAAAGAAAGAAACACGCTGTCGCTGTTGTCGAATGAAAGGACCCACGATCACGCTATGTGTGTAAGTGGTATCATATAGAGAAATGAAAAATGCGTTCGGGGAAAATTTTGTTTACGATCTTCCAAGCCGTTTTATTGGTCAGTGGTGTCGCAAGGCAACGACGAGGGACTATAGTTCATTTTGATTTAATGATCAATCTGGAATCGAGTCACAGTTCATGTGAGCTTCACTGAAGTTCCTTAAGAACACTGAGTTAAAGAGACCTTTTAACGTTAATGAGAGGAAAACTCAAAACATTATTTCATTTTTTAGTTTTTTTTGGCCGTGATAAGTTGTTCAGTGGACGTTAATAAACTATCGTGTACATATTTTCAGTGTATATGAAAATCATTCGTAGTCAACACAAGTTTTTCTCTCTTTTCCGTCTACAAAAAACTTATGCGGTGAGCTATCTCTCCCTGTCTCATTTTAAAAACGCAGCAACAAGAAATTATGACTATACTATTTATTCTCTTTAAAACTAACCGGTGAAAATGAAGCTTTTTTTCTCCCCATCCCCTCCATTCATGCAATGTTGTGCCGCTGCTCGAGCTGCCTGTAGGAAACAACTTTGGAGGTGAGGGGGAGGAATGTGGATTGTTTTGTCTGCCGAGGTTACCCTATTTGGGGACAGTGTTTCTACAATTTTGCTCCTCACCGATTGTAGCTTCTAAAGAAACTGTTTCTTTGTGTTGGTCGAGAGTGAAAGTCAGAAAGTGAGGTTACCAACGGCGTGATAAAGTAAATTCTCAACTTAGTCCAGAAACATTCTTGATTCGTTTTTGATAGCTGTGTTTGCATTTACTTTTGTTTGTGTCACAAGTGTCGGCAGCTTGAGCAGATGATGTCACAAGATACTTTTTTGTGCAACATCTTACAATAAAAGGAAGTCTGTAACAACAAAACATGAACAACGCTTTTGTATTTACGCAGATGAAAAAAAAAAAAAAAAAATTGTCGACCCTAAAAGGATTCCAAAGTTTTAGTTCAGGAACACTATTCGTTCATTCTGACCAACTGTGTTTGTCGCCAGAGGTCAGGGTTGGAATACCGGCGAGCCTGAATTTTCAGGCTCTCTTTCGCAACTCGGCATAATTTGTGTCTGTAACTGCGATGATCTTTTCTACATTTATTTCTATATCCCGCAGTTCTAATACATGAAATTCATGTACTCATTGTTCAGGGTTTTCGACGGTTTTTTTAAGTTCCGGATATATATCTGAAAGCACCGGACTCGAAATTTTTCTTACGAGCGCCGAAGGTACGAGCTATCTAGGAGGATCTGGGGGCATGCTTCCCCAGGAAATTTTTATAATAGAACACTCAGGAACACTGTTTCCAGCGATTCTGGAACCCAAGAATCAGTCATTCCCAGGCAGGGCTGGAGTTCTTTCAAATTCTGAAAATAAATTTGACATTTGGTAGGGGAACGTGGAGGGGAAATGGCAGTAAGTTTATGAGTGGCTTAAGTAAAAAAAAAAAAAAATGATAATAATAACAAAAAATAAAAAACCCCTCAACTTTTAGCATCAAAGTACCGGACATAGAATGGAAAACGACCGAAGGAAACGTCCGGCCTCCGGCCTCAAACGAAAACCCTGATTGTTTCATCTTCATCTTTCCCGGGTATTTTACGAAACCAATTTAATGACTCTGGGGAAAATTGATGTTAGTCACTTTTGGGACTTAAACGGTTAAAGGAGCTGTGTCATGAAAATTTTTAAAGCTCAAACAGTGAGAGCTGCCAGCAAACTGGGTGAAAAATAAAAAATAACCGCTCCATAGCAGAGCAAAAACAAAAGAAGGCACCGATGGGCAAACTCGAAGACGTCAAATGAAGAATGATCGGATGATTCTCGCAGCTGTGAACGCAGCTGTGAACGCAATTGCGTAAGAAGCCTGAAAAAAAAAAAGAAAAAAAGAAAAGAAAAAATTCAGTACCTCAACGGGATTTGAACCCGTGACCGAGCGATACCCGTGTGATGCTCTAACCAATGAAGCCACCGAGCTGATTTATTCCATATACATCTGTCACAAACTTGAAGAAGATTAAAACGGATTGCAATTGCGCTTTTTGAAAACTTGTTAAACTAACCTAAAAGTTCATTTTTTTGTTGTTTGTAACGTTTGATATAGCTTCGGGAGAGATATTTGTCTGATACGAAGCTGTGATGTTGTCAGTTACAAGTAACTTCCCCGCTAAAGTTAACTTTCTTAGCGAATGAAGACGCACTACTGACCGCAATATTAATCTAATGAGTCAGACAGCTGTGGTAAAGCGCCGTTAAGCGGACGCAGGCGAGTGGTCGCTTTCGTAGGTAACGAGAGGCAACGAGAACGACGAAAAAGCAATAGGTTTAGGGCCTGTTTACATGGAGGTGGGGGACCCCAGGTGGGTGAGGTAACCCGCCTGTCCATATAATCTCTCACTTTAATTTGATCACGTTCGCATGATAGGTGGGGTGACCCGCCAAGGCGGGTAGCCTGGTCTGCCAGACCGGGCAAGCCTTTCATCCGGGGTCAAATTTTGCCATGTAAACGTTTCAAGGTGGGGTAACCCGCCTAGCCGAGGGCGGATTCGTGATGAATTAAATTTGCGCAAAATTCACTTTAGCGGTGGTTTTGTATCATCATGAAAGGCAACAATAAAAAGCCACAGCACTGAAGGTTGCAACGAGAGCAGCAAGTGAGTGTTGAAGAGCATTAATCGCCAAAACACGTGGTTTTCCAGTATTTCTTCTTGTTTACGTGCTTAACGACCAATCAATAATTTTGAGAACGTGCACCCGCGATGGCGGGGTTGTAAGGTTGCATGTAAAGGAGAGTTATTTTTTTTTACCCCACCTAAGCGGGTTACCTCACCTACCAGGGGTCCCCCACTTCCATGTAAACAGGCCCTTAGATTGTCAAAAGAACAACCTTTCATGACGTCAAACTGCCTAATTTCACGTTTTGCGGAGGACGTGAATGCAAGACAATTGCTTTTTGTTTTGCTGAGCTTCGATACAGTCTTTCAGAATTCAACTCCTGAAAAATTTGCCACCATTTTACGAAATGAACGAGATGAAATAAGCGCGATCAAGTTCGAAGCATTTGTCGCTGTTGAGAGTATCTATTCTCAATGTCAATGTCTATGCTAGAGCCTTTCTAAGTACATTTCAACGTGTTCTTGTTAAAACAAAGTTGTGACGTAACATTGAGAGAGATTTGAAGCAAAAATATATATATTCATAGTCTGATGAACGTAATATACAAGCGCCCAAGATTATTTCCTGCACCTTTGCTAACAGTTGTCAGGATTTCCTATAGACACATACTAACCTCAGGCTTGGGAAACCACTTTTTATTTCCCTTTTGTAGTGATTAATAAATTCGTTCTTACGTCAATTCCCGGGGGGGGGGATACTCCCTATAATGGCCTACACGGCACGGGGAGACTCAACCCGAAAGGGGTACGCTTTTCAGGCTTCAGGTATATTTTATGGTAGGGATTTCACTTGTTGAAGTATATGAAGGGCAGAGAAGAAAATCTGTCAATTCGGTGTGTAAACAGGCCCAAAATGGCGAACAGATCCATTTTATGGATGGGAAAAAGTTGGGAAAACGTTCTGGTTTGTGATTACATATTTAATAGACAGCGAATTTACAGTAGTTATAGGGATTTAAAGTTCTTTACTAGGTGTGTGAAAGGGTACCATTTGTCGGTAAAAGATCTACGAAAGGGCTACCTAAAAGCCGAGGGTAAGGGGCTGGACGTCGGAGCGGAGCCTCTCCGCAGAAAACTTTGTTGAGTACCCCCCGTGCCTTAGTCAAGCCTGTAAACTGTAGCTCCGACAACACGACATCGATGTGTTCGATCAATCATGGCGCACCGACATGAAAAACTCATTAATTACGAAATAATATAAGGAAACTAATATCTGAAACCCAATCTTTGGCAGTATACGTCTTTGCCAAACTTTTTCATTGGATAGTTTTCCCACTGGTTCTCTCAAACTAACTTGTTTTGACGTTTCTGCCTACAATGGTTTGCCGTGCTTATTTCCGTCGTCGGAACACCTGCCTCGTTTATATCCAGCCCAATCTTTTATATATGCAAACACTTCTAAGCTTTCTTGAGTCATTTTATGAGCCGTAATAGGCTCGCACCACCGGTAGGTTGCATTCTGTGTTTGTTTGGGGTCAAGAAGAGTGGCAAAGTACAGCAATTACTAAAAATCGCTAAGCAGCGACTCGCAAACAATGAACTTATCCAATTTCAAGCAACAAAGAACGTACAGTGCTTGTTGGCGAGTTTCTTTTCTGTCTTCAGGAGATCATGGCTCCTCTATCTGACGATACTGTGAGACGTTACAAAAAATATTCTTAACATTTCTTCACGCCTCAACTCAAGATAAGGAAGAGTTTTCTTCGTCTTTTCTTTTCGTTTCTTTGCAATTTGCACGAAGTTTTCTCAAGATTTAACCAGTAGTTTGGTCTGAAGAAAAAGAATTCTAGTCCAAAATTTCACGATTGATGTTGTAGTTACTGTTTCTTCTCGCAGGATTAATGACTTGACAGGCAAAACACCCTGCGCAAGAATAAATTAATGAACTTCAAAGAGATAATCATTACATAATTCAAAAGAAAGCTTTTCAAAGAAATTCTCGTTCTTACATAATTCAAAAGAAGGCTTTCAAAGAAATACTTGTTTTTTTGTAGCTACGTAGTTGGAATGAACACCGTTGCCTTTTGTCTGTTCGCCGTTGTATCCTGTTTATCCGTGGAAACGACGTTCAGTTTGCGTTCGCGATGGAGGAGATTTCAAGACAGTTATTTTATTGTTGGAGCTCTTTTTCCGATAACGGAAGGTCCAAGATGCGATATTGTAAGAGAAGAAGGTTTGCTTCTCGTGGAAGCTTTCGTGCACACCGTGAACGCGAAGAACAACGAGTCAATTTTCCCTGGTGGTTCTATTGGCTACGATATTAGAGACACTTGCTCAATCCCTGCCATCGCTTTAAGAGAGCTCCTGGACATACTTGGCAAAAGTGAAGGCTCTTCGTCGAAAAACTGCTCTTTGTCAAAGGCTGGAAATAGCTGTGGGGTGATTGCAGTTGTTGGCCCTCAATCAAGCAAGAGTGCGCTCGCGATCAGTCCTCTATTGAGCATATATGGAGTACCACAAGTAAGAGAAATGTAGCTGCTGTATTTATGCGTGTTTTTGTTTTTCATACAGTGTCAGCTTGGCTGTGCTCCAATTTTAAGTGTTCAGATAAAACTTTAAAGCTCTTGGGGGGAAAAGTGAGTCAAAGTTTTCTTTTTATAAGTAGAGCTGCGAATTTCTTTACACGGAGTGGTTTAAAGTTTATCAGTTTGACTGAAAGTAAGTGATAAGTAGGACCTTCGCTTTAAGGCTTGGCGAAAATCTATGTGGACTTATATGTATTTGATATTGTGTTCTAGCGTGATACGTATTGCATGCAAGATTAATTTGTCACTAACCATAAAATTTCAGAGGAACACACGAAAAAGATCAGCTAACAACAAGAGCACCTTCACATTGGTGGAGTTTTATTCAGATTCTTAGATATAAGTAGCGAACCCAAGATAAAAAGTTTTTGATCTGTAACGCATTTATCCGCCATGTCGAGGTTTGAGATATTTCATTTAATACACTGGCCGGAGGCAGGTGTTGGCGAGAAACAAAAGTAGTAGCAAATTCAGTCTTTTACATGCAAGCAATGAAACATTTGCATAGCATTTTTACTAGAAAACATCTGTAAAAACAGAAATTTAAGTTATGTTGTAGCTTTTATGATTTTATGTTGAATGTGTGTTAAACTTTTGGCACCTTTTGAAAACGTTTTACTTGGATTTGGTCATCCTACTTTCACTTTTACAAGATAGCTGTTCTTGAGTGGGAGAGTGGGTCACACTACATTTAATTTTAATTTGTTGATTTCAAAATAGGAATTGGAACATGCAATATGTTACTTTGCACGGTCGCAATTTTGACAGGCGAGGAAACAAATCTTGAGGGCATAAATGTTTTAGAAATCATTTTTTTGCAAGAAGTTTTCTTTTTAATTTTCGCTTGAAGAAGTCTTAGATTATTCCTGCGAAGAGGATTTACTCCGAGGCAATTTTTAAACTACTTATGAACGGTTTAATAACCGATATATATATGCATGTTTTTTTTTTTCAAGAAAAAATTTGTTGGAATAAGAAAGGGAGCTAATACAAATCAAACTGGAAATTTCTGGGGCCGCTGTAAATCAGAACCATTCACATAATATTTCATCCAACAATTCTTCCGGCTCGGATGAACGATTATCCGATTATCTCTGATTAATATTTTGATGATTTTGTCAGCTAACAAACACGAAATGCAGTCTGTGCAAATTTAAATAATTCTTTTATTCAGCTACCGCGAAATGTATTTCGATTACTGTTTTAACAGATGGATTTTATAATGTCACTCTATCAAACAAAGATCGTTTCCAGTGGCGTTTTTCAAATTTTACTTTTCTTTTCATTTTGTGGATTAGCAGAAGCTACACTTTTTTGTGTCATTACGGCGCTTTTAAGATGATATACTTTTTAAATCTAACAAGAGAAACTAATGACTTGTTTTTCGAAGTGCTTATTTCCATAAAATCGGAAGTTTTGGACAGCGAGTGCTCCATACTTAAAAAAATGTTGTCATTTTGGTCTGTCTAATTTATCAACAAGCCTTTTCTATTCTAGAAGGGGCGCGACCTTTCTTATTACCATATAAGTTGTTTACAGTAGAAATAGAGGCTTTGAAGTAGTGACGAGTCTTTCTTCCTCTTGGTTAGATTGCCTAAAGCCATTTCAGTGTAGGCGGGAGAAGGTTGTTTTCCCCACGTTTCATGCAAATATATCACGCTATAACACGCTAAGAACACCCTCCGCCGCGCACGAAATGGTTGCTCAATGCTCCTACGAGGGTCTAGATTTTTTCATAATATATCGTTTTTTTATCATCCTGAATGAGAAGTATCGGTTCGCTCTCTCCCTCGTTATAACCAGTTTTCCAAATTGATCCTAGCTCTATTCGTGTCTTGTGCGCGAACGACACCGGTGCATACATTTCAACGAAGACCAGTTCTATACCATCGGGTCCTTGAAGAACTGAGA